GGTAGGGTAGGGTAGGGTAGGGTAGGGTAGGGAGGGAGGGAGGGAAGGGAGGGGAGCGGGGAGAGAGGGAGGGAGCGTAAAACACCAGACACTTGTGATAAAGGCCACAGACACCAAGAGAAGAGTAGTCTAGACGATCAGCCCGTAATGACCAAGCAGTGGCCAATGCATTCACCCATCTTTAAGGCCAGGCAACAGCAGCCAATGAGCCAGACGCGCAAAAACGTGACGGCATCGAGCGTCGTTCTCAGCAGGTGGCGTTGTGACAAACCGCGGCATCGACGAGTTCGCACTGCATACAGACAGCCTTAGCTACAAAGATTCATGAGGCCACGGAAAGACCTGCCGTAGACGGACAAAGACACAAGGCCACAAAAGGGATCCCAGAAGCCATGCTTGTCCTTTCGCATCCTGCAGGATGCAGTCGAAGTCGATGGGCGCAGTGCTCTTGGAGTACCAAGCAGTCAAATTCCATTTGGACCCCGTGCTCGGCATTTGGCCATGGAACCATGTCAGAAATTGCGAGGGCCGAGTTTGCTTCATGCCGGGAATGAGATCCGAAACAATTTTGGTCAGCTCCGTCATCGCGACACCGTCGGTTGTAGGTCCGCCAAGCTGGCTCTCAACAAGATCAGAGCCCATACCATCGTAGTACTCCACACCGAGATGGGGGTGCGTGTGGCCCATGATCATGTTGTCGACATTATTGAAAACCTGTGCCAGGTTCAGAGTGTCCTCCTCACAGACCTCGAAGGGTTGAGCCAGGATCCAGCTGCAGACCAGCTCGCAGGCAGTCAGGGCCGAGCTGGCCACAGTCCCGTCCGTGTCTGACAGAGCTTCGCCGAACTGCCTTGAGAAGCTCCTGACGTCGGTGGGAGCCCCAAGGTTTGCAATGGCCGGCAGCAAGCAGCAACCGCCTGCAAGTGGTAAATGCATGATGTCGTGCAGCCAATTGGTTTCTGACATCTGGGCTTCTCCGGGGCACCATGGGCCGTAGGCTTCACGGAAGTATGCGACCCACTCCGCCTCCTCCTGTAGAAGCTCTCTGGGCCCAACACGTAGGAGGCAAGGCTTCGATGGCTCTGCACCACAAGCGACGGCGATCAGCAGCATCACATCATCGTCCTCCTGGTCATCTCCCTGGCCCTGGCCCTGGCCCTGTCCCTGCAAGAACTGCGCCAGCGTCGGAGATGCAGGCTCGGACTTCATGCCACGCTCAGACCCCTTGGTTTGGGATCGGCCCGGGCTCAAGGATGGTGACGAACGGACCGATGGCGAAGGCTGCAATTTCTCCGGCGCCTTTGTGCTGTAGGAAATCCGCTGAAGGCTGAGTTTCGAGTATCCAGCGGCGAAGGGCAGGTCCACTAACTTCTCAAGCAGCTTACGAGGAAGGTTTTGTCCGGACGTGACCTCGATCCCTCTAACTTGCACTGACTTCGCTACGTTCTTTGGCTCCACCTCGATGGTATCCACTTCCACGGCTTCGACAACTGCAACCTTCCCCTTCGGGTTCTTGCTTTTGTCTCGACCTTTGCCTGCTGTACTCGTCTTTCTTTGAGGTGCGGCTTTGGACTTGGCCTCAGGTTTCTCCGCATTCCCCTTGCCCTTGGCATTCTTCCCTTGTGGGGTCGCAGGGGTCTGAGGTCTGGTAGGTGGCACTGTGTTCTTGTTGGGCACCGCAACCTTAGGCGGCATCTCCGCCGGGCCTCAGCGCCAGCCTTCGCAAGCCCACAGTCTGATCAGAGCCATGGCCATCCCCCACAGCTCGGCTTCTGCTTTCCGACGGTGCGCTGAAGTAGAGGGTAGAGGGTCTGGGGTAGGGTCTACACCTGCAGGCATCGAGTCGTTCTCCAGCGATGTTGGTCATGCTGTCAGAAGGTAAACGTCGCTCTCTCAACTACACCCCACATGCAGTTCTCTGAGAGGCAGCATACAAGCAGGAACATATAGGCACTCGTGGTTCTGACACGCAAACAGCGACGTAAGCTCTGCTTGTCGATCGAAACACGAATGCAGGGCCCTGCTGTGAGAGCTGCATCAGGTCTAGGAACTGTGTCTCCAGCTCCTGGGACAAGACAAGGAGTTGCTGCACTCTTGTTCCTTCCAGGTTTTACCTGTTTACACACTTACACAGTGGTCAACGCAAGAGAACTAGAGAACCCCAGTCAAAACAAATGTATTTATACACTGAGCCATCTCCAACGCGAGTGCAATGGCTTTGCACTACGTGCCTGCAGCCCTCGTCTGACGTTGGCGTTTACACGCTGGACCTCAAGAATGCTGGGCAGGCCGAGTGACACTTATGATGTCTGTTCTTGGGAGCTTCATTGGGTCACATCATAGCCGAAAGCATTGAGTTCGTGCCACCAGCCACTCACCACAGCATCGAGAAGTTGCCGTACCGGCCGGGACAGAAGCCCTACTTTGTTATGAATCCCCTCTGCTTCTTCGGGAAAACTCGCATAGAGGATCGTAGGTTGCGAAAGCCAAGGCCTCCTTATAGCAGACTGAGAGACAAAGAGGATATGACACCTTCTCCATCACTTCCCCAGGCACAACCCCGGCCATAAAGCTGATTATCAAACCCGTGATGCTCCGCCGCCAAGGAAGATGCCATGTACAGTGGCCGCAGTATCTTGACCCCTCGTGACCCATGTAAAGAGCCTCCTTGGTCAGGGCCGCCGACCATGCCTGATGCAATGGAGGTGACTTGTAGCAAAATCCCGTCTCACGGAATCAGACGCGTTGTGCCTCCAGAGCCAAGTCCACGTCGATCAGCTTGGGCGTGGTGCCGGGCTCAATCTCTATTGCAAACGTAGTCCTGTGACGACTCAGAACCCCACATACCAAACGCTGCTACTGAGCGATACTTCGGCAGTTATGCCTCCTGCGTCTTCATGAAGCGAAATCAATGAAGGGACCCAAGAGGTTGAGGATTGGACGGTGGCGTGGCGGGCGGCAGTCGTTCTGAAGTGTTGCGGGAGACGCCTCGCCACACAGTTTCGATTGCTGCGATGTTGAGTTAAAAGCTTCGGACGACGTGGACATTAAAGGCCCTGAACATAATTTGCAATGCACTGCGTCTGGTCGCAGACTTAAGACAATTCAATTAATGCGGCAAAATTACACTCTCTCAAGGGCAAGGCGATTCAAGCCTTACGCAGATGACGACGGACACAGCTTCATTGGAACTCTGTGCTCACTCTGTCGCACACAACAGCAACACGTGTGCGCAATTAGGTGCTCCGTTGGTGCATATCCACGCACAAGAACCGATATTAGAACTCGGGAAGGCGCCTCGAAACTTGTCAAATGGCCTGACCCTCACCCCGCAATTCCTGCTCAGTGACGGGTGGCCCGTAGGCGCATCCCGGGGCACACCACCGTCAAGGAGTTGGAATGGAAGCACCAAGCTACACGTCTCGAACGCTGCCCGCAAGAACGAACGTTTCATTTCTGGACGAGTCCTGCACGTCTAAGGTCCCCGCTTTGTGTCCTTGTGGACCTGCTTCAAACTACTGCTGCTGCTCCCGGTCATTGTGCTTAAGGTTCGGGTCTCTCCTTTACTTCTCACTCCGCATGCAGCTGTACAAGCGGGGTGGCAGGGGCCATACTGGCTGATCCCTCAAAACAGAGGCAAAACTTAGCTGCCAAGCATAGTTTGAGATCAGACGCTCTACGTTGCAGGCCACAGCCAGAAACACAAAGAAGCAGAAGATGCCTCGTCTCATACTGAGCGATCTCCCCCACCAAACCAAAACCGACTCACTTGGAGTGCCGCCCTTCCAGTGAGAGTCGTCGCTATTATCATCGTCATCATCGCCATGATCACAATCATCGTAAGTATGACCGTGATATCACCACATCTAATCGAATCTAATCCTGATCAGCACGTAGATCACCGTCGTCTTCGTCCGTAGAAGTTCCGTAGAGGATGCTGGCGCAGGTAATGATCATCATGGCATTGTGAATGTTCTCGTGACACCATGCCGCCATCAAACCCAAAGCAGCCCAGTGGCACAAGGCCCATGCAAGCATTCAACATCATCGAACTCTCCAACTCTACTTGGAGGTTCATGAGTAGTTACAAAAGGGTTTATAAGTAGGCTAACTATAATTAATTATAACTACCCATGAACCTCCAACTTTAGCCTCTGCCGCAGATCTCCAGGCCGCCAAGCCCCGGGCAGCTCCCGCAACGCATCGTAGCATCGCCCCGCAGCGATGTCTTCGAGGCGCCTGGTGATGGCGGCTGGGATGATGACAAGCTCTCGTGCCAGGACAGAAGTGAGGCTGCCGAAACCGGGAACCCAAAATTCCTAAACCCATACATCTGCACACTTGGGGCCGGGCTTCTTGAGAAAGTAATAAGGTATGTAGGTCCTCAGCTCTCAAAAACGCCTTTCGGACCCTTCGCGAAGGAGGAAGGCCTGAGGCCTCGGCCCCCGCCACTCCGGGAGCTGATACTCATCCAGAAGCTTTGAGAATTTCATCGTCTTCAAGACGGGGCCAAGCTGGAGTTAGTTCAGAGTTCAGGGACACTTGCACATCTTGGAGTGGGATACGCGGTTCATGCTCTCAGTTGGTTGAGTGGCGTAGAGCTGTAGCTGATGCAGGTCTACTTGCTTTGCACGTGCACCATGCACCCACACAAACATACACTCTCCTGCCGCATGAATGATGACTCTTGCATCGGAAGGCTTCTGTGTGGGAAGTCTTGGTCATGTGTAGCTCTTCTGACATATATGCCGCCTATTGGCTCTTATGCCCAAAGTCACGGCTGCGGCGTGCCTGGCGCATGTTCTAGCAAAAGTATCTTCTCAAGGCGGTGAGGAACGCACAACATCAGCTGCAAAGCCTCGCAAAATCATTAGGTGACTCTCGGATCTGGCCGAGAGATTCTGATCTCACCCGGGGTGCATCCGAGCCCTGCGACCGGGCACTCAACCATCCCGGAAACCCCCCTCTGAAACCCCCCCCGTCCCGGAGTGGCGGGGCACCATGGGCCCTTTATGTACATCGGCGCTGCTGCGGAGGATCTGCGCAAAGCCTGGGCCCAGGAACCTGGGGAGATCTTTGGAAAGCGCGAGTTAGGACAGGAAGGAGGGCTTCCAGAAGCCGGCGAAAAAACAAGCACTTCGAACACTGAAGTGGAGATGCATGGCTACCCCAAACTGTTTAAACTCCAGCCTGTCTAAACTTGGGCCCGTGACACCTAGACGAAACACTGTCCATCGCTAAACATGTACAGGAAGAGATACTAGAACTGCAGCTGCTTCTAACGGTGGACGTCGTCGTCGTCGTCCTACGACTGCAGAATGCTATAGAAGACCTTAAGTGCGATAGTGCAGCAGTTTTCTTGCCAAAAGCGTGATCCCCGTCGAGCCAGAAAGAACATGGGCCCAACCAAAAGCCACAGAGGGAACGGGCACCAACAAAGATTTGGCAGCCCAGTCTTTACAATTAAATCGGAGGTGCATGCATGCAGCCGCACCCGAAAAGTGTGGACGGGTGAAACCTCGTGTGGAAGCAAACAGTGGCGTCCATGCTCTCTGTGATGTCCGGAGTGGTAGCGACTATGGCACATTTGAAAGTCATGCTCAAGTGGTTATTGCTTTTCTGGCCAGGGCGTGCACGGCCTCGGTCGCAAAGTAGTGGGCTGCTGCCGAGTGGGCAACATCCAGCGCAGTCCTCCCCAAATCATCTTGCACCGTCCGATCCACCCGTGAATGGCCCAACAGCAGCTCGCAGGTGCCCCGCTCCCCATTACCCGCGGCAAGGTGCAATGGTGTGTCGCCCGCATCGTCGCGGGCATTGGGGTCCACTGCATCGCATGATAAGAGGAGCGAGAGTGCGCTCAGTTTCCCGAGAGCAGCTGCATAGTGGAGCAAGGTTCGGCCCATGATATCTGGAGTTTGTAGTGTTTGGGGCTGGGCAAAAGGAAACACGCTGCAAAAGCTTGCCTCATCGATGCTAATCATGCGGACCAACAGGGACTGCGCGGCTTCCACCTCGTCGGTGTTCTGGAGCTCTTGCAACCTTTGGATGGCCTCCTCAACATGTGGGATCTGCTTGATGATGCGCCCTGGGGGCCTTTGTGGCAAGCAGTCCATGGATGGAAAGGCAGCTGGCGTAGCGGAAGATCACAGCTGCAAAGCCAAAGCTTCGACGGACATGCTAGACAAGGTCTCTGGCGAGTCTGTGTAGAGCAGGGATTTCCCTTACATACGTGTGAAGGGCAGTCAGATAGTACGTCAGTACGGATTATCGAGCGGCTTGGGTCCCCACGCGAGGGTCTTGCCACTCCCACTCTTGGCGATGCCAATTAGGTCATGACCAGCACTGAGGATGGGCCAGCACTGCGCCTGGAACACTCAAAGGCCCTCCCACCGCAATGAACCCTCAAGTTCAGACAGACTCTTCGACCCATGCTGGGCATGTCGCCGTGCGACTACGGCCACTCTCAGCCGCACCCAGCTCTCGGCTGTGCATATCCGGGTCTATTCCGCAAAATTGGAATCAACAGCTTTCCGCAGACCTCTGCAGAAAAGCCTGCAAGCTGCCCGCAAAGCCATCGGGTGGCTGTGTAAGGCCTCGAAGCCCCTGCCAACCCGTCCTCCCCGAACCTTTACACTGCTCCAACTTTGATGATCCCGAAAAGGCTCCTCATGCCCCTTCCAGCGTTTATTCAAGCGAAGCCTGAAAGGAAACTCTACGATGTGCCACCTGAATCGGCGTGGGCTGCTGGAACTTCGCTTCCTGGATCTCCTGCAAGACTTTGGCCGGCAAGGCGGCAGCCTGCCGTGGAGTCAAACTGCATCGGCTGCTACGTCTGGCACTGTGTAAGTATGTCAATATTTGCGTAAGCATGTACGTATGTGCGTACGTAGGTATGTATGAATAGACAATAATAGACAGATAGAAGATAAAAGAGAGAGTGATGGCAACGTAAGTCAGTCCTGTGTAGTGGGTATGAATGCGTATGAGACACGAGTATATAGAAGTGTCCACTTTGAAGCACCAAGGATAAGTGTTGGAAAGTGTCGTTCTAATTTGCATTATTGTAGTTGACAAATCTGCTCAACATGTGCTCCAGACAGCCTGGCACAGGCTTGGCATGTTGTATTTCCAACCGGTTGAAATATGTCTAACGGAGAGAAATTATGACGCGTAAGCTCGTTACCACCATCGAAAAAAGTAGCTCAAATACGATGGAAAGTTCAGATTACTGGCATGTACAACAGACTTCGCGCACTAGCAATCTCGCACAAATGTGCAGCTGAAGCCCAATCCCTCTCAAACAGCCTGAAGTGTCAACGCTCACTACAGCCCAATAGATTTCACGGCAAAACACTCACAAACACGAAACTGAAGATGGGAAGTCTGCTTCTTCTTAAGGATCGGACAGTGAAGTCCCGAATTGGAGTCGGCACATTGCCGCTGAATGTGCTGATCACCTCCAAGCCGGCTTACGATTAGTAGCCAGACGCATCACACGCTGTCGGGTCCGGCGCATGGTTAGGTCTTCGATGACTGAGATTCAAGCAGAATTGTGAGGAAATCTGCTGAGCCCGTTTGCAAAAGAGGGCACGAACAAACGATCATGCGGCACATGCGGCACATCCAGCAAGCCTTCATCTCGTGCTGCCGCCGATACTCCTGCAGCACAATTCCATATTTTACGCTAGTGCGCATGTGTCGAAAGTCTGCTTCTGCAACAGAAGCGTGGCCACAAGGTGGTGGCTGCTAAAGCACGGGGATCGACCGGTGCCCTCCCCACGCCCGCCAACCCCGACCAGCCCGGCACTGGTCGTTGCTTGAAGTCTCTAACACAAGAACTGCATACATTAGCTCAGCTGGATTGTAAAAAAATACATCTACCGAGATCCCTACTGAACCTATAGGCACAGCATGACACAGCCAGATAGGTCCTTCCCCCTCCAGATAACATTAGCCTTGTCCTGCAACCTCAAAACATTGCCATGATGAGGGCACCTGGGCAGTCTGTGCATCTTGAGGACCAGAAGTCCACCTGCGCTGGAAGCGTTCAATTCTCTGAGCCTTCATGTAACAAAATCACCCCTGCCAGCATCTATATACCGAGACACCGCTGCACGAGTATGTAATTTAGCTAGCTAGCTGCGAGTAACGGTAGCCGAGGGTATCGGAAACCAAGCATCATGTGCCCTGAAAGCATACGAGTCCTCGTGTTGCAAATACTTTGCGACGCAACGCCAGGTGCAACCCACACTCGTGGCACGCTCAGCGTCTTGTGACGCCGCAAGTGCAAACGTGAATTTAGCTGTACAGTACAACGAAAAGGCCCCTTCACTGACCACCGGCGCTTCCCCCCGCGCACCACGTGGCAGACATGTTGCAGACAGCGTGTTGCACGCATCCGCTCGCACCCGTTGCGTCAGCGCATTGGCCTCTTTCTGGTTGGAATTCGCCTGAGAAGGCACAAGCTGAGGGTGCCTTCCAAAAAGCCTGTCTCTTTTCATTTGCTATAGGTTGCCAAATCCCGCGACTCATGCTGAGCACAAACAGAAGCGCGTCTGCACCCAAGGAACTCTCCATCCGAATCCAGCAGCTGGCCAGGCTGACCCTTGAAGATGGCTTCTGGGCCTTGGAACTCCCCCAAGAATCGAGAGCGATGAGAGATTCTCAGTAAATCTTGGGCGAATCTTCGAGAGCCAGGCTGATGCCCTTCAGCCTGTATGGCTTGCCCCCAAGACCCTCGTACCTCGGCTTTCGGCATCACTGCGCCGGCTTTCCGATGCTTCCGACACTTCGCCTGTCAGGCTCTTAGGTGCCGACTCGTTTCCGCCATACCAGATGACGATGTGATGATCCTTGTAATTCCTCGGCTCAGAGTTTGACTTTGCGGAACAAAGCTGGGTGCTGATTCCTGTCAAGCCAGGTAAGGACACGTCTGCATCGAGCACTCTTTCGCGCTTATGTGGCCGAGGCTCTCGTAGATGTGGCACGGTCGCCACTTCGAAGAGGAGTCCTGCACCTCCAACCAGCGACCGACGTGCTAAGACATTGAAATTCAACCGAAGGTACCCCTCCTTGCAGGTACTGAACTACACTGAACAAGGGATGCGCTCCTGCACAAGGAAGGGCTAGGCGGCTAGGACTAGGAGATGCAGGAACAGGACTATGGCAACACGCCGACGGTTTGGCCACTCTTGGTATGTCAATTTTGCGGGAGTGCCGTGACCCTAGCATGAATGAACTGCACACCAAATCATCCGTGGTGTCTGTCAGTTCGGAGTTTACAATCAGACGTTGGGCCTACCGCAAGAACCGCTTACACCACCGAACCATGACTGCAAGCCTTGGGGAGCGCTGCTCTTCATGGTCTTGGCTCGACAGTAAGCTAGAGAATGATAGAGTAGCCTGGAATTCAATATAGAATAGCACAGAACAATAGGCTAGAACATAATAGAATAGAGCGGAATAGAATAGAACAAAATAGAACAGAATAGAATAGAGTAGAGGGCAGTATAATGTAAAAGAGCGAGATGTAATATCTGACCCCTGGCAGGCCTCAAGGCATGGGTCGGAGCGAATGCGATAGTCGCCCCTGACATGCTGCAATCGGAAGACCATCCGAGACATCTCACATGCCTTGCGCACCCAAAACCGAACTATCTCTAAATTCTGGATCGTGCAGGATGCTTCGCCTTCGCAAAACAGAGGAGAACAAACACGCCCTCACGCTCTCACGCACACGGAAACCCTTGCTTTAGAAAACTTGGACGCGGCATTGCGGGTGACGGATCAAAAAAATCGCCTCGCATCCAAAGTAACAGTCATATGCTTTAGCAGGAGCAAACGTACATGTAATGGATTGTATATACTGGTAATAGTTAGTCACGGTAAGAGTAACGGTAATGGTCACAGTCACAGTAGCAGTAGTAGTAGCAGTAGT